GGAATGTACCAAATCCACTGTCTGATTCTGGGAAACGGACTAGGTGCGTTCTACATGGTCTCCCTGACAACAAGACCAAGTTGCAACAACGAGGTCAACCCACTTCTATCAATCGGAAGGAGACTGCGACCACACCAGAGGCCACAACATCTTGGTCTTCATATATTCAATTTGCGAAGTATACCCTCATCTGATGCTGTCCTTTGTACGAAGCATAAAATCTGGGTCCTTTTCTTACCATAAATCATCATTACGTATTTTCCGATCGAGCTAATCGACAGCTGACCAACAGGCATCCATCCTCGTCTTTTGGTAGAATGCACTTTCGAGTCTCTCCATCAGACGCACTCTCGTTGCAAACTGAAGTCAGTTCAGCCAAGCTATTTGTGTTTGGCTGATGTGCACTTCGAGACTGTCAGTAGTGCTTGACTGAGAATGGAGATTTTCCATTTTAGCCATATTCTCCCTTTGCCTCCTCCGCAGAGCCAATCGCCTCCTCCTGCATTGACCTGACCGTTTGCCATTCGCACGAAACGCCCATTTCGCCGGGCTCATTCGACCGGCAACTTGGCTTTTTCCCCGCCTCCCAGCCCTGCCATGGCGTGGACACTTCGAGCAGAGTTGACGAAAACTGCCAGACGTCTGTCATTCACTCGTCCGTCTATTCAGAGCACCCGACAAAGTCGCCCATGCCCCGGCGCCACGAGCCCGCTGGCCAGGCGAGCTGCGAGGCAGTCGGCAGTCGTGCGTCGAGTGTGAAAAAGTCGATCGATTTCTGCGTGACAGGTGCCGGTGCGCTGTTGCGCAAGCGTCGACGTGGTCTCAACGCACGTTCGAGCCTTTTCGGCTCTTCGGCCAAACTCGAGCTGACCGGAGGCGGCGGCGGCGGCGGCGCCTCTTGTCGGCCAAAAGGCGGCCGACTCGGCTTCAACGGCCAAGTCGGCCAGAATTGTGCATCGATCGCCGGTCTGCCGGCCACCTTTGACTTGCCCGAGCCGACGTCCGACCCGCGAGTCACGCTGATTGGCTACCGCAGTTTTGATCCGGACACCGACGACCCGCTGACCGCGCCACCAGCCACGGCCCAGCTCGGCTGCACATGCTCGCTGCCCGCCTCGCCGGTGCACTCGTCGCTGCGACAGGCCTGCTTTTTCGGTCTCTGTCCGCAGGCGTGCACGCGAGTTGCCGAGGCGCGCGGACACCCAGCCTCGGTGTCGACAAGCCTCTCGTCTGCGCCACCATGGCAACCGGCAACCCGAGCCACGAGGGCTCAGACACGCGGGACGACATGTCTGCGAACCGGTGCCGTCTCGAGCAGCGAGCCGGTCAGACGAGCTGTTGTTGAGGGGGCGGGCGAAGTAGCGCATCCGTTGCCGTCTAATCCAGCCTTTCTGTTGCGCTGTCTCATCGACTCGTCGGCCAACGCGACTGTCGATGACCAGTCGACGTGTCTCGACGCGCCCGGTCCTAGCGTTGCCGGCCGGTCGAGCCATCACCGAGGCAACCGAGCTGACTCGACCGGTACAGACGGTTGCGACTGTCCCAACACACCGGCCGCACCCACGACTGCTTGTCGCTCTCGAGGACACTTGGCCTCAGGGCGTCCCAAGTCTCTTGTGCTTCGACAAACTTCTTGTACAGCCTCGCAGCAGGCCGAGGTCGAAGCAAAGTGTAGGCCCCTTCACAGTCGGACACATCATGCCCCGGCTCAACTGGCCTCTTTCCAAGAGTGAATTCGCCTTTTTTACCTCTACTTTGTTGCCTTGTCGTCTTATTCTGTCCTTTTTTCATACATTCTCCAAGCCTCGACAGACACAACCGATCATTTGCAAATGGGCTTTCCTGCAGATGTACGGCCACGTTGGTGGTTTCGCCATTGGCAGTATTTAATGCCTAACTGGCTGCTTGGTGGGTGAAGAAGACTCCTTTGCATAGGATGGAGAAAATCTTTTGAAACTATACAAAAATGCTTAGCC